GGCTGGCTCCAGAGTTCAAAGAGCACAGCAAACAAAAATTCAATGCCTGGGAACCTCAAAAGTCAGAGGTTATCATTTTTGTTTGCTTTTACCCCATCAAGCAAATTCTTGGTCAAGGACACACTTTTGACCACCACAGACAGAAGTAATTCTTAGAGAAGTTGTCCCCAAAGGCCAGACAGTCTGCTCTCCACACCAGGAGTACATGGGCTCTGCTTAATACTACATCACACCCATGTCTCTCTCCAGCTCCATTTCAGTCTGGCTTTAGTGTCTCCCTCAAGAGAAGTCTTGCATTTGATTTTGTCAGAAGTCCTCCAAGTGTTCCACCCTGGGGCCAATTTCACACCAATTTTTCAGTTCAGGGCTGCTTGATCACACAGGTAATATGAATTCAGACTATAAAATATCTGAAAAAATCAGGATATTAATTCTAATGGGTATAGTTTTTTTTTTAATTTTCAGTCAAATTTCAAACGAAAGCAGGAAAAGATTATTTTATACCCCAGCTAATGAACAGCTTTTCTTTCTACTCAGATACAGCCTTTCCAGAGTCCCACATTTATAAAAAAAACTCTATGTCTAATGCCCTATCCAATCTGTGCTCAGAGCCTTATCTCCTGGTCAACAAAGATATTTTCACTCAAGGGGAGTACTCTCACACTCTGCCAGCAGATACAAGTGTCAACACTTGTATATCATGCAGAATTGTATGCCCAGGTCTAATTTTGGTCCTAAACTACAGTCTGATAGTGTATAATGACATTTCATGCTGCAGAATACATTCTCATCAACAACACTGGACCATATATATAACAAAGAGTCCATAAGATTATAATGCAGTTGGAAATTTCCTATCGAAAAAATTGAAATAAAAAGGAGGACGTGACTGTTTCTAAGTATGGTGGAGGAGGTTTATTGTAGATTAAAGGGAGAGCATATCTAGAGGCAGAGACATCTGTGAGAGTTGAGAGTGAATATGACCCTGAACCAGGCCGAGAGGGGGTGTGGAGAGGGGTGAGTCAGGACACCAGGAGACCAAAAGGCCAGGAGGGTAAAGAGTAGACAAAAGGGGCCAGGTAACCAAAATGGCTGGATTATATAGTGAAGGTCAGCTGGGGAAAGGGTAGCCCAGACTCTGGGCTGGAGAGTTCAGGGTAGGTGTTGGAGTATGCCAGCCATTCCCTGGAAGAGGTAGGGGCTGAGGGATGCTGGGAGAACCTGGCAGCCAGGCCCATTTTGATATGTTAAATAGGCACTTCAGTTACTGTTAGTCCTGTGTTTGAGACCTAACACCTAGAGCCTAGTGATGCTGGGGCTGCCCCACTGTAGTAGTGTGGTGTATTTTATGTTTCTGTGCTAATGCCTGTATAAAGAGACTGAGTTGTCAGTCACTTAAAAATGTAATGCATATGCTGAGCAAGGGTGTACACACCTGTTGTGGATTATTAGTTAAAGATGTGTTGCATGAAAATGGAGAACAGGTTCCCAAAGGCCAGCTAAGCGCCAGGGACAGGTCCTGATCTCTCTGCTAGGAGCTTTACAAACAGACCAAGATACACAACTGTCACACACATGCACAGGGCCTAGATCAGTCTCATGCAGGTTCCCTAACTGGGGAATGTTTGTTTAATTATACAAAGATATGTTGCATTCTTTTATGTTGCATTTGTTTAACTCTGTGAAGCTGTATTACTGTGCTTGTCTAAAACACCTGATAGTCTAATAAAGAGCTAAACATCCAATAGTGAGGCAGGAGAGAGAAATAGGTGGGGCTGCCAGGCAGAGAGACTATATAGGAGGAGAGAAGAGTGAAAAGGGGGAGAGAGAAAAGGGGAAGGAGAAGAGGACGCCAGGGGCCAGCCACCCAGCCACTGAGCCAGCAACAGAGTAAGAAGTAAAGAAAGACATACAGAATAGACAAAAGTAAAAGCCCAGAGGCAAAAGGTAGACAGGATAAGTTAAGAAAAGCTGGCTAGAAACAAGCCAAGCTAAAAGCCAGGCATTCATAAGTAGAAATAAGTCTCTGTGTATTTATTTGGGAGATGGGTGGCTGGGCCCCAGAGATCAAAGAGTAAAAAAAAAAAGAAAACACCACACACCTGCAATCACACTACCCATGAGGCTGAGGCAGGACTGAAAATCTGAAGCCAGCCTGGGTTACATAATGGGATCTTATCTCAAAAAATATAATTCATACAATTATGTATAGTACATATTTGATAATTATAATGACTATATTACTAGTTTATTTACTATGCTACTCTTTTTTGAGGGGGGTTATGATACAGGGTTTCTCTGTGTAACAGAGTCCTGGCTGTCCTGGAACTTAATTGTAGACCAGGCTGGCCTCGAACTCACAGAGATCCTCCTGCCTCTGCCTCCCGAGTGCTGGGATTAAAGGTATGTGCCACCATGTTGTACTATAAAATAGTATGCCAGGCCTATAAGATGGCTTAGTGGGTAAAGGTACTTGCCAGTTTGGTCACTGAACTCATAAGGTGGAAAGAGAGAACCAATTACAAGTTATCCTCTTATTTCCACATGCATACCATGGCAGTACTGATACACATACACACACACACACACACACACACACACACACACACACACACAAATATACATAAATAAATAATGTTAAAAAACAAAACAGTATGCTATGTTAGTCTAGCACAGTGATTCTCAACCTTCCTAGCTGTGAGCCTCTAATATAGTTCCTCACGTTGTGGTGACTCCAAACATAAAATGATTTCACTGCTACTTCATAACTGTAATTTTGCTACTATTATGAATCATAATATAAATATCTGATATGCAGGATATCGGATATGTGACCCCTGTGAAAGGGTCATTCAACCCCCACAAAGGTACTGCAATGCACAGGTTGAGAACCACTGCTCTAGCAGCTCAATCTACCAACAGTCACATATATCTCATGTATCTGGTTTCTTGACTGTATCATTTTGCCTTGTGTTTGATTTAATCTTGTGTTGCTTTGTTCATCGCAGCTGTAGAAGCAACAGGCTATGCCATATCATAGCGCCTAGGTACATAAACAATGCTGTATGATGGTTCCCCAATAACAAAATCACTTAAAGAGACTGTTAATCCACTTTCCATCACTGTGATAAAATCATGAGATAACTTAAAAAGGCGAAAGGTTTATACTGGCTCTAGTTTCAGAGATTTCAGTCTATGAATATATGGCTCTATTGTTTCTGCTGCCTCCCCCCATGAGACACATCATGGTGAGGAACAAAGTTGCTCACCTCGTGGAAATCAGGAAGTAGTGACAAAAAGGAGCTATGAACAAAATATATTCTTTAAAAGCAAAACATTTCTCCTGTGACCTACTTCCTAATGGGCTCCACCTCCTCAAGTCTACCACCTCCCAATAGCCCACTAAGTTTTGAATCCATCAGTGGATTAATCAACTGATGAAGATATAGCCTTACGTGATCCAATCACCTCTTACTTTTGAATAGGAACCATGAGCTTGGGGGTACATATCAAGTGTAAACACTAACAGGTATCCCCCCCCCAGATTTTGTATTCATGGATAAGCAATAAATAACTACAGCTGCCTTATTATTCTCCCTATAATTGTTTGTTTGGGGGGTTAGTGGTAGAGATACCCAGGGCTTGCACATGCTCAGCAAGTATTCTACCATGGAGCTTCACTCCCAAGTAACTATGCATTTAACAGGATGCTTTCCTCATTTTACCCAGTGCTTGTGTTTTGTAGTAGGAGAGTTTTCATATGATGCAAACTGATATATGGTCAAATAAAGACATCCTACAGAAGCCTAGAGAGTATGTAAACATTAACAAAGAGTCTCAGCCTCCCATATTGTCTTATGTCAGAACCAGGCTGTTTTGGAAGATCCACACCCATCCAGGAGATTCTAATGTATATCTGAAACATGAATCTAACTAGTCTTATCAATAAAAAGCAGGAGTCACACAACATATATTTCCACTTAAGAATTATTGCAAAAGAAGGTAAGAAGCTTGGATGATTATATTGCTTAAGTTTACATAATAAATGAAATTTTTCTTTAAATTTACAAAGATGAAAGGCTTTTGCTACACATGATTGCCGTCTGATGGTTATTTTTACAGCTAATTAGATACAGAAGATTTTGTTGGAATTATATAATATTACATACTGGACAATTCCATTTTCTCAAAGGGTAAGGAAAAAAATAGATGATTAGATCATGTTTCCCGCATGAAAAATTTCTTTGGCCAAATTTTTGCTGAGCTCGAAAACCATTTTTAAACTTTTTGCATCATTTGAATTGCTGAAATCAGGATCATTGCAGTTGACCTTTGGCAGGTTTTTAGCTGAATGGATAATAATTCAGCAGTTTTCAATTGTCTGAATGATAAGATAACTGAATAAGTAGATGGAAAAACTGAAAGTGCCAAGTGCAGCTGCTTGCCAGTTTGCAGTTCTTACTCAAATTCATTAAAATGGAATGAATGAAATGTTCTTTGTGAATATGCATAGAATATTATACAATATTTACACAGAAAATATGCTATGATTTGAACAATTTTCCCCCTCCAAAACTCATCCCAGAATTTTATTGGTATTGTGGCAATTCAGAGAGGTAATTGGGCCATGAGGGCTCTGCCATTTCAAAGAAGGAAATTTCAACCATTTTTGCTTTCTAGCTCTGATTTCTTCCATGTTAGAATGCAGCAAGGCCCTTACCATGGGACTGGAGAGATGATTCACTAGGGGCACTGGCTGCTCTTGCAGAAGACCCAAGTTAGGTTCCCAGCACCCACATGGTACCTTACTATATATATATATATATATATATATATATATATATATATATATATATATATATATATATATGACACTCAAGCTTCAGGAGAGCTGATGCTCTCTTCTGGCCTCTGTGGGCATCAGGTATGCAAGTGGTATACATACATACATTACATAAGTAAGAATGAATAAATTTTTAAAACAAAAAGAAAATGCTTACCAGATGCCAGCACTTTAATCATGGAGATCCACGCCTGTATAACAGTATGAAAACAAAGTTATGTTCTTTATAAATTACCCACTCTATTGTATCCTGTTATGAAAAGTCAAAATGGCTTAAGACAAGGTGCAAACAATACTATGCAAATTATCATTGGGAATACTTGTGGAAACAATTTATGCTTCCTGAAAAAATGATACAAATAAAAAATTCAAAACTAGTGTTTCTTTAGACTGTCACACTAGAAAATATTACAAAGTAAATGAAAGAAAACTGTTATTTTGTTTTGACAATCCTTGTTAAGTCAACGTGACAAAGGCAGAGTCGTCTGAGAGGAGGAACCTCAATTGAGAAAATGCCTCTCTAAGATCAGGCTGTATGCAAGCTGGTAGGACATTGTCTTAATTAGCGCTTGATGGGGGAGGACCCAAACCATTGTGAGTGGTGCCATCCCTGGCTGATGGTCTTGGGTTTTATAAGAAAGCAGGTTGAGCAAGCCATGAGGAGCAAGCCAGTAAGCAGCACCCCTCCATGGCCTCTGCACTAGCTCCTGCCTCCAGGTTCCTGCCCTGTTTGAGTTCCTTGTCCTGACTTCCTTTGGTGATGAACAGTGATATGAAAGTATAAGCCAAATAAACCCTTTCTTCCCCAACTTGGTCATGTTTTTTTATCCCAGAAATAGAAACCCTAACTAAGACAAAACACTTAAACATTACCTGCATTTTACAAATGAAAAAAAATGTATTAGTTTCTTTTCCTGTTACTGTGAAAAACTACTAACCAGGAAACAAGGGAAGAAGGATTTATGTGGGGGCTCACGGTTTGAGAGGGACGGGATGATAGTGTTCATGGCAGCAAAAGAGTATGACTGGGACTCACATCTGGAAGAACACGGTTGCAGAAAGAGGTGAATGTGAATGTGCATGCACACCCCATGTTCCCTTTTCATTCAGTACAGAAGCCTGGCCTTTGGGACAGTGCTGCTCACATACAGGGTAGATCTTCCTTCCTCAGTTAAACCTCTCTGGAAACTCCCTCACAGACACACCTCAAGGTGTGTCTTCTAGATAAGTCTGAATTCAGTCACACTGACAACAGAGATTAACCATTACAGGAATGTTGAAATTTGTAAAATTGCACAATCGAGTTGCAATTTAAACTAAGGTCATCTAACCCTAGAGCCTGTGTGCCTAAGGATAAAATTATACTTGTCCTTGGGGATATGTGAACTGTTGACTGAGAATGGGTGTGGGATTCTGGAATGTTTTCTATGGTGGTGAAATAGCTATAAATATATGTCAAAATTCAGGGAGATTAACCTTTAAAGTTGTACACCAGACTGTACATGAATAATATGTCAAAATAAAAGAAAAAATAGAATCTGACAAAGGTATTTAAAGGCCAAATGTTTTAAGTACAATAAATAGCAAGTATCGTAAGGTTAGTTTTTTTCTCCTACTTAAATCCCTCATAGTGGACATCGTAACCTATGATCAAACCTCAAAACACTCTAATTACCACAGAGTCCTCCCTTCATCTCTTCTATTTTCAATCTTAATCCCAGGGTTGCTTTAGCTTTTCACTAAATCCTTTTCTCTTTCCCACTAACTCTCAGATTCCCTCTTCTCTGTTTCTTCCTTTCTCTATTTTAATGAGTAAGCTTTAAAAAAATTTCATTACATTTTATTTCTTTCAGGGATGAACACATATAGGCCACAGCAGCATATACAAAGGCCTCCAGACCTTAGCACAACTGACACCACGTTGGACAAACTATTCTGACCTAGCACCCAAGCCCCAACACCTGCCAAGATGGAAACAAAGACAGAATCCATCAAAGACCTAGTCCGTAGTTCCAGGATCCAGGCAAGTCCCTAAATGTACTAACTTGGCTTTTTGGCTTCTGTAGTTTTGATTTTTACTAAGTGTTCTTGCTAACTGAAGTGAGTCAACAAGGATGAGGGTTTTGTATATAAAAGACAGAGGATGGTGACGCTTAGGGCTGCATGATTTGGGCAAGTTCCATGTGCAGCCACCAGCCAACAATACAGACTTCTATTTGGCTTCAAGAGTGTCCATGTGTGTTCTCTGGTGGAATTACCTCACAACAATAAATTCCATAACTTGTGGGAACTGATTCTCTCCTACCTCCATGTGGGTCATGAGACTCAGTCTTCACATAGGTTCTCAGGCTTAAACTCGGGTCCTTGGGCTTGGAAGCAAGATCCTTTACCACTAAAGCCATTTCACCATCCTGGGTTCTCTTTCTAAGTCCACTATGAATGAAACAGAACAGGAAACAGAAAATTAACGTTAAAGACGTATTCATTCATTTTGTGTGTCTCTGTGTGTATGGGTATGTATCATAAGTGTGTGTGTGTGTGTGTGTGTGTGTGTGTGTGTGTGTGTGTGTGTGTGTGTGTGTGTGTGTGTTTGAATACAGGTACATGCATGCAATGGCACATGTGTGGAGGTTAGCGGACAACTCTTAGGAGATGTTCTCTTCTACCACCTTGTGGGATCTGGGGATCAAACTCAGGTTGTCATGCCTAATCCTCAAAGTTGTCCTCTGACCCCCCACATACATGCAGTGGCACACACATGCCCACAAACATGCACACAGAAAATATACAAATAAGTGTAATTTTAAAAATGTTAAAGCACTGTGATGAGCACAAGGCACAGCATTAACCAGTAGCACTTTCCTTGTATCATTCCACAGAATTACATTTACAGTCTTTTTTTTTTTCAAGACAGGGTTTCTTTGTGTAGCTTTGGAGCTTGTCATGAACTCACTCTGTAGACTAGGCTGGCCTTGAACTCACAGAAATCCACCTGCCTCTGCCTCTCAAGTGCTGGGATTAAAAGTGTGCACCACCACTGCACGGCTACACTTACAGTCTTTAACAATCTTTTCTCACCTTAGGGCCCAAGAATATCTGGAGTTCTCCAGATATATGCTCTAAGATATATAGTATAACTTCTCCCTTTAACACAGGCCTATATAGGCTACTATGGTAGTTTGAATAAGGATGGCTTCATAGACTCATATATTTGAATGTTTATTCACTGGAGAGTAATTAGGAGATGTGACCTTGTTGGAGGTGTGTCACTAGGGATAGACTTTGAGGTTTTAAAAGCCCATGCCAGACCAGGTCTCTCTCTTTCTCTCCCCCTACAGATCAGGATATAGAACTCTCAGCTACTTCTCCAGCTCCACATCTGCTTTGAGCCACCACACTCCCTGCCATGCTTACCGTGGATTAACCCTCTGAAACTAAGCAGGCTTACTATTTAATGTTTTCTTCCTTTCTTTCTTTTTCTTTTTTTTTCTTTCTTTCTTTTTTTTTTTCCCCTGAGACGGGATTTCTCTGTGTAGTTTTGGTGCCTGTCCTGGATCTTGCTGTGTAGCCCAGGCTGGCCTCCAACTCACAGAGATCTGCCTGGCTCTGCCTCCCGAGTGCTGGGATTAAAGGTGTGCACCACCACCGCCCAGCAAATGTTTTCTTTTATAAGAGTTGCCTTCATCATGGTGGTCCCCCAACACAGGAGTTTAGACAAGCAGGTTTTTCCATGGGTGCTAGAGATCCAAACTCAGGCCCTCATGCTTCCATGACAGGCACTTTTTCCAACTACACCATCATCTCCATAGCTGGAGACAATATACTTTTTATGTAGAAATATTTTCAAATAAGAATTTTTAAATATGGAAGGTGCAGAGATAGCTCAGTGGGTAAAGCGCTTGTCTGTAATCCCAGAGCTTCTGTGGTAAGGTAGGAAGTAGAGACAGGAAAATCTCCAAAGCTGGCCGACCTATTCCCAGAAGCTTGTAGGCTAGCTAGTCTGGCATACACAGGGATAAACAATATGAGACATGTCATGAAGATACGTAGTGCAAACAAACCAGAAATATTGCTGTTTAAACCCAGTTGGGGGGAGGGGGCTAGAGTGATGGCTCAGTGATTAAGGGTGCACACTCTTCTTTAGAGGACATGAGTTTGATTCTTAGCACGTACGTATGTTGGGTGGCTCACAGCCTGTAACTGCAACTCTAGGGGATACAATACCTCTGGCCTCCAAGAGCATCTGCAAACACTTACACATAATTAAAAATAATAAAAATAAATATTTAAACAGTAAATAAATCAACTGAAATGGAGTTTGTTTCAATGGTACACACTAATTAATCCTGGTTGGTAAAATGTTAGTATCAGAAACCAGAAGCAAATGATCAGCTTAAATTGAGGACAAATATTCATGCATGTAATAGCAAACTCTCAATTTTTGAATACTAATATTTAAATTGAAAAATAACAATGATATATTCACACTATATGGCATGCTTTGAAAATATGAATACGTTATTCAATGACTAATTGTATATCAATGCTTTAATTTAAAAAATTTACATTTCATGTATATTTTTTATCTCAGAAGATAGTGACATTCTGTTTCTGCCAAGTATCAATTTTTAACATGCAGCTGTTTGTACTCAGCCAAAATACATATTTGATGTTCCTCTACAAATAATGAATAAAAGCTCAGTTATGTATCCTTTATTTAAAACAGTTCCTTGACAGAAATCCAAAATGTTTTGCAAATGAAGTCACAAACTTATTTTACTGAAAAATACCTTGATCTTTTTTAATCCCAGCTTTCTTCTTTGCCATTCTGTCTCCTATCTGGCCTCTTCTGCTGCCACCAACTGGCTTCCACTACTGCTAAATTCCAGCAACCAGCAGGATTCAATTCAGTGCTTTGTTTTGACTGCTGGGCTCCTGGTAGGAAAATCAACTCAGATGAATAACTACATTTTTAGGCTGGGAACTGAAAATCACAAATAACTCATTTCCTTCACATCTAGGGTTATCAGATAGCCACACAGTAGCTGGTACTTGTCCCAGCAAGTGGTCCAGACAAAGCTCCAGGCTAACAAAAGAGAAGCCATTTCCACTGTTAAATTAATAGTCTCCTCCCAGGAAGGAACAAGGTTAAAACCACAGAGCCATTATATAAAAGCAAACAAAGGTCAAATCAAATGTAACAGTGTACCAAAAGACTTGGAAATTCAGAAGTACAAATTCTAACACATTTATACAAAAGAACATTTGAAAATAGTATGTAAATAAAAGTTCAACCATGTTTATTTAGTTTTGTGAAATTTTAAGCAGTAAATATCGTTTAACTTTTTGTTTCAGCCAATGTCATTTTTTTGTTAGAGGGATTAAACGATTAAAAATCCAAAACTACTTAAAATTTACTATTATAAATTAAAGTTAAAAATTTAAATTATAGCTGGGCAGTGGCGGTGCACACCTTTAATCCCAGCACTCAGGAGGCAGAGGCAGGTGGATCTCTGAGTTCTAGGCCAACCTGGTCTACAAAGTGAGTTCCAGAACAGCCAGGGCTGTTACACAGAGAAATCCTGTCTTGAAAAACTAAAAAAGGTGGAAGGGGGGAGTGAGAGAGAGAAAGAAAAATAAACAAAACAAAATAAAAATTAGTTTAAAGTATAAAATAAATTTAAATAAGCTTTCAAGTAATAGTTTTTGTAAGTGGATAGCTATCATTTATACTTCAGAAATTCTCAAAGGTTAATACAACACTAGGGAAATATGGAAAATCATGAATCCACAGGGTGCTTGAATGTCAACATTTATAACACTGAAAGAAAATTCAAGCCATTTTTAAAAGCACAAAAATAATGTAAACAAATAGGTAAAACAAAACCAGTTTTGAAGCCAGAGAGACGTTGCCCAGCGAGCCTTTTCTTTCTGACTCCAACGCTAGCGTGCTCGCTGGCTCACTCAACAGCTTTGACATAAAACACAGTACCACACTTTGCCACAAGGCTAGAATGTTTAGATTACTAGTTCCATATGAGTAATCAGGGATTCGTTTCCAACTAGCTTCACTGTAGACAACACCTATGGTATGTATCCTAGAACAATTGTCTAGGCTACGTTACAGAAACTTGAAGGCCACTTTTGCTTTTAAAAAGAAAGAAAGAAAGAAAGAAAGAAAGAAAGAAAGAAAGAAAGAAAGAAAGAAAGAAAGAAAGAAAGAAAGAAAGAAAGAAAGAAAAGTAAAAGAAATAAAGAAAACAACAAAACATCTCACAAACAACAAACAAAACTGTTTTTCCAGTGCCTATGGACATCTAATGCATGACCAAAATGGCTTGGCATCTGCCCTCATACTGAATCTATTCCCTTGGTTGTCATAACTTTTCAGACATGGTTTCTCTGTAGCTCAGGTTAGCCTTCTAGACATGCCGATCCCTCTGCCTCAGCTTCCCATGTGCTGTGATTATAGACATGAGCCACCACACCTGGCTTTGCTCTCTTAACCCTTGAGCTCACTCTACTCAGTCAGTTTTCTATGTAGAGATATTGACTTGAGTTGGAGACTAATGTGGCTTATTACCTGTTGGAGGAACATTCACTTTTTTCTACCCAACCCTTACACTTTTGCGGCAGCCCAAGTACAATATCCCTCAGCTCTAGAAACTGGAAAGCATGCCATGAGGCTAGGGCATTTATGCCATATGATGTCAGTAAGAAAAGGAACTCAACCGCTCCAGAGTCAAACTCTAAAAGACCCTCAGAAAAGCAGTGATGCCAGCAACAGGATGAACTCAATTGTTCCCTGGATAAATCACCTCAGGTTTGCCCATCCGGCACAAGACCAAGATGTTTGCTGCAAAGAAAAAGAGCATCTATTGCAAAGATGCTCACAATTAATGAGGCAATTGCCAAATCACTCCACTCTCCCCAAAAAGAATCAGTAAAAGCATGCTGCACCTTTTTCTCAACAAAGCAGCCTGATAGGCTCTGCCTAGTGTTAGCTCCCTTCTGCTCTGGAGCTGAAGTCCCAATAAAGCTTGCCTGTCTTGTCCGCCGTATGTGACTTAGTCTCATTTCTGTTGATCCCAGCATCCAGCAGTAGCTAGCTGGAAGTGGAGATGAGAGGACCAGAAGTTTCTTGTGCTGTGTAGGGATTCCGGGTCAGTGTGGGATACAGATACTTTGTTTTCAAAAAGAGAGAATGCAAGCCGGGCAGTGGTGGCTCACGGCTTTAATCTCAGCACTCAGGAGGCAGTCAGGCGGATCTCTGTGAGTTCGAGGCCAGCCTGGTCTACAGAGGGAGATCCAGGACAGGCTCCAAAACTACACAGAGAAACCCTGTCTCGAAAAACGAGAGAGAGAGAGAGAGAGAGAGAGAGAGAGAGAGAGAGAGAGAGAGAGAGAGAGAGAGAGAGAGAGAGAGAGAGAGACTAGAAGGTGTAGCTCAGGGTTAGTTAACAGTATATCCCTGGCATGCTCAAAGCCCTGTCCTTACCTCAGGAGGTTATCTAGTTTGGTGGATCTATACTTGGGCTACACAGTGACATGCCATGAATGATTTTAAAAAACACAGACTTGGGTCTGTTTCACGAAGCCTCTGATTTAATTGGTTCAGGCTATACAATAAGCATCAGGAATTTTAATTCCCCTGGGGAAGCTAATGTGCAACCAAAGCTGAGAACTACACTCTAAGTCATTGGGCAGATGTTCAATGCTCCAAGTTTTAGAAGTTTCACCTAAGGCAGATGTTCAATGCTCCCATTTTTAGAAGTTTCACTAACTTATTTATTTACCTATTTTATGTGTGAGTAGCTCAAAGGACACTCTGCAAGGGCTGGTTCCCTCCTATCAAGTCATTCCCTGGGATTGAACTCAGGTAGTCAGGCTTGGCAGCCTTTACCTGATGAGCTATTTTGCCTTCCTTAGAGCTCCATCCAATATGTAATAGTAGCACCAAACTCAAGTTTTTTTGATGAGAGGTTCTTAAAAATTAATGAACAGCCAGGTATTTTGGTGCAGGGGGATCTCTGAGAGCTCAAAGTCAGCCTGGTATACACAGTGAATGCCAGGCCAGGACTGCATAGTGAGGCCCTGTCTTAAAAACAAAAACAAGCAAACAAACAAAAACAGTGATATGGACATATCTTTTTAAAATGTCGCGCAAAATAATCCCTATTTAAATGGTGCGATTCTATTTACACAAAATTAAATATTAAAAAAAAAATGGGACGGGGCAGAAATGACTAGGAAGGGAAGCTAGGAGGAAATTCCAGGGATAGACATGTTACTTATTTGGATTAAGGTACACAGACAGATACACTTATCAAAACATATCGCCGTAAATAAACCGGTTACAAAGAGACGTGGTTAATTTGAATGTGGGTATGTATCATTATTTCTAATAACTCCAAACCCCTGCTATGTTAAAAAGCACAACAAACCAGAGATAAGAATCAGTGAGAAGGGAGAGCAAACAGCAGGGAGCAAGCCTAAGCAATCACTGGCACTCTGGCAACCGAAAGCAAGGTGCTTCTAAAACTACCGAGCCGGAGAGTCCCAGAAAAAAAAAAAAAAAAAAAAAAAAAACCCAAGCTTTTTCCGGCACTCGCAAAACCGGCTGAGTGTCCTCACCGGAAGGGTCCGGAAGGAAACGTTGCCACCCGGGCAAAGAACCCGGTAGCAACTTGGTTCCTGCGCGGGTGCTGGGGCTGTAAGGCGCCGGGCGGTCGGCTGGTTGTGGATCGAAGAAGGAAGACGCCGGGGCCCGCCGACCATCCGCTGCTACTATGATTCCGGTGTCGCTGGTGGTGGTGGTGGTGGGTGGTTGGACTGCCGTCTACCTGGCCGATTTGGTGTTGAAGGTGAGGGCCTTGGGCCTAAGGCCTTAGCCGGCAGAGTCCAGGGCTGGTGCGCGTGGTCCTGTGTTGCCCGAGGCCTTTTCTCCTCCCTTGCCAAGTTTCCTCCGGGGGGCTGGAACCCGCTCTGCCCGCGGTGTCTACGTGCACCCTTCCGCGTGGTGTATCCGTCCGGCGGAGTAAATAAAGCCGGGCAGGCTACGGGAGGGGTGTGGCGGCCTGCGCCGCTGCCGCATTGCGGGCGCCGGGTCCCTGCAGCTTTTGGCTCCTTCCCGGGAGGAGCCTGTGGTGTGGGCTTGGGAGGCAGGGCTCGAAGGAGGAAAGAAACTAAAACATCCGCTTAGGAAAAGGCATTGTTTTCCTTCTTTGTGCTAAGGTTACGACCGGAGAGACACTGCTGGTATTGGGATAAATCAAATTCAAATCGTGATTTAAATCACCGTTGTCAAACTCGAAAGTGCACAAATGTATCCGAGGTTCCGGTTAAAATTTAGATTCTGCTTCAGCAGATCTGGAAAGAAAGCTAAGATTCTGTATTTCCAACCAGTTCCTCTGTCCCGCCGACAGTGCTGACCCACAGACCATGCTTTAAAGTAGCATGCTTAAGTAGTAAGAATTTAGATAGCCACATTTTCTACTCAAATTCTAATTTACACCCTACACTCCCTTCTTCACAGTGACGACACACACCCTGGGCATACAGTGCGTTTTTGAGTGTTGTGGGTGTTGGAATGGTAAGAAGAAATTTCAACAGTTGCCTGAGCACGTGCTTTAGACACCTTCAGAATGGAATGGGTGTGGAGAATACGAACATAAAAATTCCTAAGGGTTTAAAAATTAAAATCATGAATATTAAAACCTTCATGTGTTCTTTTAAACAAAATGCCTCATGGCCTTGTGTCTTAGATAACAATAAAATGAAATGGCCCTTGTGCTTCTTTGTCATATTTAAACTTTAAAGCCAGATCTATGAAGTGTAGTCCTTAGGAGAACTAGGCTCTGCCAATTCCTAACCTTTGTGACCTTGGGCAAATAACTACCTGTGCTCCATTTCTTGTCTTTAAATAGGGATAACAATAGGAAGGATCACCTAAAATTACGGAGAGTATTATATTAATGCGTCTCTATGATATACTACATAAATCTGAGGTTCAACGACTGATAACACTTGGATGTACTGGGCACTTGTTAGAATGACAGAACTTCAGGTCTCACCACGAAGACCTGTATAATCGGAATCTGTAGCCTAATAGGATTCCCCACTGATTTCTCCGCACATTTGTTTGGAAATCACTGATGGATTTGGCATAGTGTTTATTTAACAAAACAAGCCACAGGGATTTGGTGATTGGTTTCAAAAGAAAAAGCCATGTGATTTCTTCTTGTTTCATATGTGGAAATTTTTCCAAATAAAAAGAACTCATCAAACGTGTACAGTGAGTCCCAGGTCAAGTAAGTGAGTGATAAGGATGTGGCTTTAGTTTCTGAGGCATCCTCTACATGAAAGCGTCCACCCCTGAGCAATGGCACTGATCAGTGTCTGGGGTTAAGACCTTGCCTTTTAAAAAAAAGTGTATATGGCTGTTTTGTCTGTTTGTATGTACACTACATGCCTTCAGTGCCCTTGGTGGCCAGAAGAGGTTGTAAGATTCCCTGGAACTAGAGTTACAAGTGGTTCTTAGCCACCATGTGGGTGCTGGGATTTGAATCTGGGTCTTGTGGAAGAGCAGCCGCTGCTTTATGGGTTAAGCTGTCTTTCCAGCGCCTGAGACCTTGCCTTTAAGAGCATTCACCTTCTCTTGGTTTGCTGTTCTACTGTTGATTTTTCTAGCTTTCCACAGTGGACGGTTGCTACACAGGTGTGCCAATCTCCTTGTCAAGTCCTGGAAAACAAGCAAACTTAAAATGCCACCAGAAGACAGTGCAGACAATTACAGATACTGGAATTCAGACTCAGGTCATTTCTTTATGATGGTAAAAGAGCTGAAATAGCCTTGTAGGACAAATGCATTTTTTATACAGATGACAGTACTTCCAGTGCTTTCTGTAACTACCTTGGTATTTATAGATCTACCTTAGTCAAGGACTTCAGCCTTTCTAAAAGATAAGACCCTTGTGACTGTTTATAAGCAGCTATCACTATAACCCCTGGGGAAATTTAAGAGCTGCTACTGAGACCAAGAGGAAAGTGGGTAAATTTTGTACTTTCATTTGGTCAAAGTTGGTTTAACTTGAGGCTTACTTAGATGAAAATAGAAACTACCAATTCAAACTAAGCTAACTCTTCTTAGAATCCACTGGAAGTCTAAAAATGATCTCAAAAGACTTCTTTCCTTCCTGTGGCAATAAAATAAACCTGTGCTGTCCACTGTGGTAGTTATTAGCTGTATGTGGCTACCTAGCATTTGAAAAAGCTTGTCTGAATAGAGATGTGCTATGAGTATCATTTTGATACCACATTTCAAAGAATACTAGAAACAAGTGTCTCAGTGTTCTTATGTTGATTACACATTAAAATGATACCTTGGATATTACAGATTACAAATACATGAAAACGAATCTCTCCTTTTTAAAATTTGGTGACTAGACAGTTTAAAATTATATGTGGCTTGCATTTTTGACTCACATATTTCTTACGGACTTCATGGTTGTAAGCAGAGGTCAGGATTTTTTTTTTCCCCAGAGACAAGGTTTCTCTGTGTAGCACTGGATCTCCTGGAATTCGATCTATAGACCAGGCTGCCCTTGAACTCATGGAGATCTCCCTACCTCTGCCTCCACAGTGCTGGGATCAAAGTTGTGTGCCACCACCACCTGGCAAGGTTGGGATATTTTTAAGGGCTGGAATAGTAAGTATCTTAAGCTTTATGGTTCATGGGATCTCTGTTACATATTCTTGGGTTTTGTTGTCTATTTCAAAGAGACAGGACTGAGACAGCATATCTCTATGTGTGTCTGGCTGGCCTGGAACTCACGATGTCCACCATGCTGGCTATGAACTTGCAGAGATAGTTCTGCCTTTCCTTCTCCAGTGAAGTGATGGCTACTTTTGATTGTTGGTTTAGTGGGATTTAGAATCACCATGGAAACAATTCCCTGAGTGTAGCTGCAAGAGATTTTCTAGATTAGGATAATTGAGGGAAAAAACCCACCCCAAATGTGAGAAGTACTATTCCCATGGGATGGGGTCCTGGACTGGACAAAAAAGGAGAAAGCACCTAAGCACAAGCTTTCATCTCCCTCTGCCCCCCCCCCCCCCCCCGACGACTGTGCATGTAATATGACCAGCTGCCTCAACCACCAACCTCCTCAACCTCTATCTGCCATAGCTTCTGCTCCATGATGGGCTCTACCCTGGAGCTGTGAGCCAAATTAAAGCCTTCCTAAAGCTGCCCTGTTGTCACAGTATCTAGACAAGTAACTAACATAACCCCCATCCCCAGCAGTTGTTTTTAAAAAGAAATAATCGCTTAAAAAATTAAAAACTATTCTTATATTGTAGGCTATAAGCCAGATTTTGCTCTTGGACTATATTTCCCTGGACCCTAACCCAGCTACCCAGTTAACCCAAGACCTTTAATACTTTGAAGAATAAATGTAAGGCTTTAAGATTATAAATATTTGAGGCGGGGATTGTGGCTCTGTTTGTGGAGCACTTGTCTAGCATGCACAAAATCCTAGGTTTGCTCCCAATACTATGTAACCAGACATTTTGTCACATGCCTGTAATCTCAGCACTTGGGAGGGGGAGTCAAGAGGATCCGAAATTCAAGGTCATCCTTGGCTACATGGAAACTAGAGGCCAACTTGGGTTATGTGAAACTATCTCAAAAAATACTATAAACCAGTGATTTCTCAACCTATGGGTTGAGACCCCTTTGGTGGGGGGGAGTCGAATGGCCCTTTCACAGGGGTCACTTAAGACCATCAGAAAACACAGATATTTACATTATTATTCCTAACAGTAGCAAAATGACAGTTAGGAAGTAGCAATGAAATAATGTTATGGTTGGGATCATACCATGAGGAACTGTACTAAAGGGTCACAGCATTAGGAAGGGTGAGAACCACTGTTGTTGAGCCACTAACATCTTGATTTCTTATACAGTACTTATTTTCTTTATTTTTAACCTTTATTTATGTTGTAAATCTGTCCTTCAAATTTGAGTGATGCTGAACTTTTCTTTCTCTTAGTCATCTGTGTATTTTAAACATTCTTATGAAGACTGGCTGGGAAAAAATGGATTGAGCATCTCTCCTTTTCATATAAGATGGCAAACTTCAGTTTTTAATCGTGCCTTTTACAGTTGGGGACGGCGGAAAGCAAGGATGCTTTACCAATGGTACTTTTCATCTTTAATTTGGGGGGTTATTAGTAATTTAATTAAATTGTCATCATCAGAAATAGCTTAAATATATATATTTAAGCAATTGTATCATTGTGCTTTTTCATACATTAAAAATCATGGCACCAGACCATAGTGGTGCATACCTCTTATTCCAGGCTATCCTAAGTTAGATTCCAAGTTTGAGGCCAGTCTGAGCTGCATGAGAAACTTGTCTCAAACAAGCAAAAAAAATAAAATAGAGGAGGCTGGAGAGGTGGTTCAGCAGTTAAGAGCATTTGCTGTTCTTCCAGAGGACACAAATAAATTTAAAATAAAATAAAATAAATAAGTAAATAAGACACTTAGGGAAATTTATGGTTTTGTGTTTTCCATGGTCTTTGGGATACCTAATATCCTAACAATTTCTTTTTTTAAAGATATAATTATTTTTTATTTTGTATGTTTGTTTTGCTGAATGTGTACCACCTGCATGCAGGACTCACAGGAGCCAGGCGGATATGAGATCCCCTGGAAGTGGAGTGGCAGACAGTTGTGAGCTA